GGAAAAAAGGGAAAGCCATCCCATATGGTTTGGGCTGAGAGAGTTGTTTTGCCATCATGCGGGCTCCATACGGTGACAGCGTCTAACTTTCCATGCATTAGTAAAATCAACACTGAACTATTCCAAATATTTGCAGAGAAATTGACGGTGATTAATGTTTCATTGGCGTATTTATTTTCAATTTTCTCCACGGCGATTTCACGGGAGTGCCGTAATTGCTACTGGCTTTGTCGACCGTGGCTAGACGGCGTTCGGTACCCGCTGGAGCTCACTCGCGGTGCACGCTGGATGACGGCGTCACATTTGGGGACTCGCGTCTGTCAGTGAGCAACCATGGAGGAGCTCATTTTCGGCATTCAAGGCTAAGCCAAGATTGTTTCTGCGACCGCACAGCCGTGATGAAATTAGGCAGCTGCAGCATGCTGAGACTATCCTGTGCGGAGTTTGTCTTCCGTGCAAGTGCGCATGCTCAATTATCGTGTGCCTGAGGACTCTACCGGCAAAAAGTAACGCAGCGCGTATTCGTTAACTGCTATGCAAACTCAGAATATTATTCTGAGTAGAACTGGGCTTAGGAATGCTGAACAGTGGTGTATGGGGAGATACACGAATGTTTCACAAATTATTTACGAAATTCAATTTGGAGAAGCGATCGCTGCCCTTGAGTTTCAGCAATACAGATTGAAAAACACAAGTCTGCCGAAACATTTTTGTTTAGGCCTATATCAGACTTTCTCATTCTTGAAATCGCGCGGAGATGTATCGGATGAAGAAAATGACTTTAAGGAATGTAGTTTGTATTGAAATGGTGTGCGCTGTCACGCAATGTTGACATGAACAGTGGCCTGGCAATGGACTTACAAAGCTGGAGCGATTCCTTGAATGTTGATGATGGAAACAGGGGAAGTTTTACCTAAAAGGGTGTGGAACAGAAATTTTACAAAAAAATCCCGATTCGAAACAAAACAATTTCATGCATTGTATCTACACACATTACGATGGTGTAGTACTAAGCAATTAAGTAGAAATCCCCCCCCAAAAAAAACTCCAAAGTAATCTTTATCCTTCTTTTACTGAAATCTAGACAAGGTTTTGTTTTTCTCACTAAACACACTAACCATTATTCTTCCGCATTACACTTTTTATGACTCTTTTCCAGATTGTTGTTCCCAATAACAATTTTTTATTTATCATATCAATAAACCTGAAAATTAATGAACCAGATCTTCCACAAAACATTTTTTTCTCAAATTAATGTGTGCAACTGTACATTACCTTCAATAAACCGTAATAGCTTAAATTCAAAGAAAACTGAAATAACAGTCAGAGAATCACAAGTGATTCTTGAATAGAACAATTTCAACAACAATCCGAAATATACTAGGCCAAGGACGTCCTATAGAAATATCCAAAAATTAATAACAAAATATTATTAAGTATCAAATTCTGGAATAATAACAGTGCATCGGAGGAGAAAAAAACTTCAATCGAAAAGTTTTCGAAGCGTCTGGTGCATTACTATACAGTCTGCTTAAAAATATATTCGATAGTTTGATAGTATTGGTTTTCTAGGCTATTTTAAAAGATTTTTCATTCAAATACACCAACTCTAGCATTCGATTTCCGTCAACGAAAATTTTTACCAACACCAATGTAGTCATTTACCATTAAATTTGAAAGTTTGGTCACCCTCTTTAGTCACCGGGTCGAGAATTTTCGTCATAACAGATCAAATTCGTCTAAGCTGTTGCCGAATGGCAGCATTCAGAGATCGAAGTCGTCTTGTATAAATCAATTAGACGAATTTGATTTCTGAATAACAAGGTTTGGCGTAGACCAGACGGAATCGAATACTGTGGGACAAGAACGTATGCAAATTTGCTTGAACTGAATTTAGATTTGTCTGACAAAAGACACAATTTAACATTGGAAGTGCACTAAATCGATGTTAATGGACGAATTTCAATATTAAAATCTGCGGAATTCGAATGATCATCGTTTTAAAAATAGCCGGGAAAACCTATATTTACAGTAATTAAAGTTCCAAAACCAAACGATCCACTTTCCTTAAAAATAATTAAAGAACAAACACAAAACTAAAACCCCAAAACGTACAATGGGAAGTATTAACATGTTACGGACTCCCAGGCAATGCTTTAATATATCATATTATTTTAAATATAGATTTCAACACTAAATATTCCAGAATTATTTCGATGTCTTACATTTTTTTCATAACAGTATTTTACATCATTTATAATACAAACTAATTTTTGTGCCAACAAAATTAGGTTAATATAAGCAGTGATATCGACGATATTGTTCAAAATGACACATGTTATAGGCGAAGGCTATCATAGCCAAAAGCCACAAATAGGTTCGCTTGAAGCATACAAAATGAGTCATAATAGTCCAATGCAGCTGGCTCCATATAGTGAGTTATTAATGTTTTCAGAACCATTAGTCTTTCAAAAAAAGCGCAACCGATCAATTTCTCGACGACAGACCAAATCACACATTAAACACTGCTTTGTTTGCTGGGTTTTCTTTTTTTTGCTGCGTAATTTCCATGAACGTGCACAGAATTCGTGACTCGTAAGTCACTGATTACTTTCTCATCGTGATATTGTTTCGAACTAACCGAAATCCATCGATTTGGTAGCCCAACGCCCACGGGCCCATTAACGGACGTTTGCGCAGCATTTATCTTACCAAACCTATACCCACTATTCATTGTTTATGTACAGGGTAAGTAAAAAAAAAACGAAACCCAAATGTCGGGACCATTGTTGTAGTGAAGTTCTGCATGTATCACTTTCAAAATCTAGGATATGAAAGCCCAATTCATATGCTTTCTTTTAGTACAAGAATCATTCAAATCACTCGTGTACTTTTCAAGTTAGTTTTAAACACAAGCACCGTTTTAAAGTTCTGCCCACGAATCACAAAAAGGTGTGCGTTCTTTCAGCAAAACGAAAACAATTCACACACATCCCTATGTGATTTTTTCTCGTTTTGCTGAAAGAGCACTGAACTTGTTTGCGATCCGTGGACAGAACCTTAAAACGGTGGTTGTGTTTAAAATTCCGTAACTTGAAAAGTACATGAGTGATTAGAATGATTCTTGTACTAAAAGAAAGCTTATGAATTGGGCTTTCATATCCTAGATTTGGAAAGTGCTACATGTAGCACTTCACTAAAACACTGGTACCGACATTTGGGTTTCGTTTTTTTTTTACTCACCCTGTACAGTGCATCGTCCGATGCCGCTTTCCATTGTCCGACTGTTTCGCTCTAACACCAATTACTTAAGTTAGTAGCTGCAGACAGCAGCTCAACAAATCGTCGTGTCTCTTCGATAGTAACAAACGACAGCCTTGCATGGGTATCAACTCATCCCTCAGGCCCTGGCCCTCTTTTGTGTCACTTTAATGGGTCTTCACTGACCGCCTACCAATTTAATGCAGTCCTGGGAGTCACTTGGGTCAAAAACCTGATTTTTGTACTCAAAACACTACTCCTTCCAGACATTACATGGCACAATCACGTCACTCATGCATCAACACGAATTTGTTGGCCCGCAGCTTCTGAGATCATTTCGAGCTTGTTATACACTGCAAAAACTGCAGTGTTAAATTTACACTGTTGGTATCTATATACGACCATCTGGTGTTAAATTTTACTGGTGTTGTCCTATATAGATACCAAATGGTGTTAAATTAACACTACAGTTTTTGCAGTGTACACAGATACAGATTCTCTGTATTTCATTCATACCATTACACTAATTGAATTTCATTTCAAATTAGTGTCCGTATATAAGTTGCCATTTGGGTTTAAAACGCCAAAAATTACAATTCCACATTGTACCAAATTGGCTCGTAAAACTGTCTGGCACAAAAGCATGACAGTGAGTGACTGTAGCAAGCCTGATATTGATTTAAATTTTCCGGCAACCATCTTCATCTCTCAAGTCATGACACTAAAAGTTCGACCCCGTATATGGTAGCCCTTTTAAATGTTTTAAAACAGGAAGTCAATTCGATGTGGTTTATAATGGCAATATTGGAGCCCGCCTTCATGTGGGCATTTAGCAGAACCTTCATTATAGTGCCGCAAAGTGGCTTACTCTTTTTCGTTTATTGGGGCAAAACAAATGCATGTAATTTGATAAAAGGGCCATTAGTGGTTCATATTTAATGGCGTTTCACTGTCGTGGCTGCTACACTTTAGATCGACCACACTTACTTGGTCATTCCAATCATAAAAAAAGCAATTCTTGTCATCTCCGGCACCGTCGCCTCAGCACTTGAGACTAAAAGGCAGAACGCTTGAAACATATTGCAAAATTGGGAAACCACACAATAAAATCACATTGGTTCGAAACATGAAGCGCACAGTCTGACGGTAAAATTAATTGAACTCATGCATTATGTGTAATCCTAAGCATTGCCTTGTTTATTTCACACCCTTTCCCCCCAACCCAAAGTCAATTTACTCGCAAGTGGTTTGGCACTCGGAACTCCCAGGAAACCTGATGTTTCTCGGTTAAATGCGTCCAGGGGAAAAAAAAATCAGCTGCAGTGTCTATGGGCGTCGACAGCAAGTCGGCACCTTAGATAATTGGGTTCATGCATTTTGAACGGCAGCTCCAAGAAAATATAGCGTATCATTGTGTTTGTCAAAACTCCAGTTCAGCAAAAAACAGTGCGTAGGCGGTTAATATATACCGGTACCACAGATTGGCAACTTAAACCGGTGTAATAATATCACGGAAAAGTCCGGTATATGTAGGCCTATACAAAATGCAAGCAAGGCTGATATCTCATAATGTTTCTGCACATGAAGTTTGATATTAAAATAATCGACCGCTACCCACGCTGCATTCAGAATTCGCAATCATTGGACGTATTTGCTCAATAGAAGAAAAAAAATGAGAGTACGGAGCAGACGTTCACGTACACCGTGAAATAAATGGTAATTCATCCTCGAAATATAAACTGCACAGCGCTACACCCAATACATGTAAATGTCGTTATCTCGAATTATTATGTACATTAAATACAATAACAACCATACAGAACGAAAACCTATACATATCTTACAAGCAATGCACACCATGGCAGTAAACAACTGAGTTTTTTGTATACTATGTCATTACCATGTGAGCGTTCACCTCTGTTTCCCGAAGTACAGCTATTAACTATGTACACCCTAAGCTCTTGAATGACAGTTACGTCTGGAATCAAGGTCATTTCCTGTCCGGATCCTCCTACGGAAGGGAAGACGATCTTCGCAATTACCTTGGCGTTTCAATGATTCCGCCGACCATCAATGCAGAATGATTTAATACGCTGAGAGCAGACCGCATGGGCGCGAAACTGGGTCGATATGGCTGGTCTTGATTCGAGGCCCTTTTACTGTCTGATCGTCTGCAACGTCCGTGCTCAATGTCACGACGAACTATACAAACAGTTACCACTGCATTTTGTGCGTAAGCTAAGTCCAATGACTGTGTTTTGGCTACGCACCTCAGCTCACCTCACAAATGAAATAACTTATCACTCAATGAGCGCAATTATAGCTTCCTCGTGTCTTCTTCCTTATAACTTCCTAAAATATCACTGCATCAGTATTAACAAGAGTTAGTCGCAAGTCAAGACGCACTTTGGTCCGCAAGACGGTTCGCCTGTGGCCTGTCAGAGTCCTGAGTCCGTGCTGAAATACAGAGTAAAGATCGTGCGTAAGAAGTGTCAGTTGTTAATACGAACTAATTAATAGACAGTCCTTTGCTAGAAGCGTCAGTCTGCACAGTCCCCAGCTGTTTGCTTCGGGTAATTTTGATCAAGTTTTTCAATGCGCGCGCAGCAACTCTGCTAACAGAATCTGTTACCAACTGGTAGTGCATTAGGCATGGTGTACATTACGCAGTCAAACAAAAAAGATACAAATTCAGACATCTTGATAAAAACGAACCCGGACTTGTCAATACATGACGCAAAAGGGACACCGCTGTTTTGTCCGCAGCATTGCGGCAGCTACAATAGCCAAAGTGTGCGCTGCCAAAAGAGAGGTGTTCCAATAAGAGCGTATGCGCCCGGATTCGTGTATAAGCTCATAACAAATATGTAGTTACATTGTAAATACCATATTCACACATTATTTTGAAGTTGATACTGATAACACTGACTCCAAATGTCGTATGTTACTATGGCTGCAATGATACATGACAAGAGAAAACAGACAGACGTGATCGACTAACGAGATTGTATAATCGCGGCTTGCCATCACCAATGTGGCCACGGCACGGTTGGCAGGTTCGTTTACCTCTTCCGCGTGACTTCACGCGGAGGATCATCAATTTGTCTTGCGAGGGGGCTGTGTGTCAAAACAGTTGGGCGGGTTGACAGACGGATCCCGACTCGATTGGAACGACACGTTGTCCAACTTAGAAAGCTCGCCCACTATACGGTTGGCGTACAGCAGCCTGTGGGTACTGCCCACAACGCTATGGCACCCGACAGTTCCACGGTAATTCGTGATTTGGGGCCGCGAGTCACGATCGTTTGCGAGTGGGAGGGCTAAAAAAAAGTGCCGTTGCCACACGGTGAGTGCCCACAAAATGAAAAAGTAAAAAGACAAGGAATCTTGGCAAACTAACACTGCTTTCGTACATTGTTTACAGGGGAAAACTACTTTACTCTTTAGAGCAAGAAAGAACATAGATTTCAAACGAACAAAAGAAAACCAAACCATAAACGAAAACGCTTTTCAAGGGAATCAGGTAAATGGATATTTTGATAACAATCTCCTTTCGTTTACTTTTTGTAAAACCCATTCGCTTACGTATTATGGCCGAACAGGGATCGGACCCTAGACCACTGGAAAACAAGTCCAGTGCTCTACCAACTGATTATCGAACGATATTGGCACTCTTCAAAAGTCAAGTAAAGGGGCGCATCTGATGAATTGACGGACCTAACTTTAGTGGCTTGTCCTGTAATGAAACTAATTTTCAAGCAATGTGGCATATGGGACACAGACGCATTGGGATTTCCAATGCCTGATGATGGCTCACGTAAGACTAAGACGGGCCACTGCGGAGGTGTTTATTTTGCACAGTTATTTTACCTTGATTAATTCTGATTACATATTTACATGGGTTTATACTGTACATCTCCACTACGAGTCTCCTCCGCGCACCCTGCAATCAGTTACATCCGTGGCGGGCCTATCTTTCATGCGGTTTAAAGGTATACTCAACTCATACTTCACCATGTCCCTGGACTTTTGCTTGTAGCAGGTGTAGGCCAACACATAGGCCTTACGGTACTTGGAGTTTGTGATCCCGTAGATGATGGGGTTGACGGTGGAATTGATGTACAGTAACATTTGAAAACCGTGAATCCAGGCAGCACCGATGTCTACGCCTCCTGCGAAGGACAGGATGGAGGCTAGCTCGAAAGGGAACAAGCACATGAAGAAGACGCAGCCGTTAGCCACCAGCATTTTGGTGACTCTGTTTCGGATGCGTTCGTTGACGTCCTTGCAGCCGAACTCGCTTCCCTTTGCCACGATGTGATTCAGGGACATGATGATGCGTATGTACAGGAAGGTGTTGACGGTCATCACCACGAAGAAAGGCACAGTTTGGACTAAGTTGGCCGCCATGATCATCCACGTTCGGACCGGTTGGCAGAACCCGATCACCTGCGGGAGCCTGTTGTACTTCGGGGTGTCCGGCCACGTGGGTAGGTCGTAGAGTACCAGTTTGCAGTAGCTCGGGATGAGGATGCCGGCCAGCAGGATTCCTCCAAGCCACGCGCCGGCGATCCAGCGCCTGGTGCTGGCTTTGGTCTGCTGGTGGCTGCCAGAGTGGGGACGGCAGACGGCGTTGAAGCGATGCACCGACACCAGGGTGATGAGGAACAACCCGGTGAAGTAGACGGAGTCCACCAGGAGACCGGACAGCACGCATCCGGCAACCCCGCGGAATGTCTCGTCCGACAAGAACGGCGTCTTCATGTAGTGCCACAGCTTGTCCCCGACCCCAAGGCTCAGGACCAAGATGTCGGCGACGGCCAAGTTGAGGAGGTAGGTGTTCACGTTGGTCCTCATCCAGGTCACCCGGTGGATGACAAACAGGAATGTCGAGTTTGTCACCAGGCCAACCACCAGGATGCACGGCATGATGACAGTGACAATGGTGATTTCTGTAGCGTCGTACTGCGTTAGCTTTTTGTCCTGGAGCGCAATGTCCCAATACTCATCGCCCAGAATGGACGAGTTGTCCGACTCCACGTTCATATGGGGCTCCCCGGTACCACCTACTTTTCCTAAATTGTCTAACTCAGCTGCCATAATTGTCTCCTAGGCTGGCTACTCTGTAAATCGTTTAAACAGTTTTGAGATCGACTACGTACTGCCAATTGTATAAGCAAGAAATACGGTTACTTATCAGCCGAGACTCTGAGAAGCAATACAGAGGTTGCACGCACGAGTTAAGGATTTTTATTACCCAGCTTTTTCAATCAAGCAGGGAAGAACAGTGACCGGTCGTGTAGCCCAATTGTCTGGTAGTTAGCGCTGTATGTATATTGATTGCCGTATAATACCTGACGACACAGCATCTCCAAACTTGACTTAAATTGTCGAGTATACGTCGCGTATTTACCGTTAGTCCACAAAATGGTCCATAAATGTTTTCCTCCAGACACCAATTAATCTCCAACCATCCAATTGAGTCCAATTTTCCGTCACTCAGCAACTTGACTTGCGTTAACGTAAACGCACATAAAATAAAGTACACCGGCGATTAATGTTCTTGATTACCTTTCGAAATGTCGGCGAATGATCGTCTGCACTCGGTGATGGCCCGCCAGTAGAAGTAGAGTGCAGGAACTTACGGCCTCCTTTCGCGAGCCTAATGGGGCCGGGGTAGACGGACGACCGACTCACAGGCACTGCGTCCAACAGTCATTCGTTCCGGCTTGTGGCATTAAAGTGCGTCGTTTAACCCCGCGCACTTCAACGATGACAGGATATGCACTTGGCAGCGGGGCCCATCAGTAATGCACTTTACTCGTGGTCCGCATACCATTTTAGTCGTGAATGTAAGACTCTGTTTCCTAGATGTGCACGACTGACCAGTCAAACACGACTATGAGTTCATCTCTTTTTCTTTGGCGTCGACGACAATGTACGGTAAGACGGCGTCGAAACGCGAAGCAGGAAAGACCTATCTTTCCAAGTATCTTTGGTTTTTAAAAAGCACTCTCCAACTGCGGCGGCAAGGAATTAAAGAGAAGAGTCCGTAGGCGGAAGTCTAAAATGTCCTCAGACGGAGTTTTGGAGTTTTCTTTTTATCCAAACTCTGGATCGTATCATCCGCTGGAGTGATATACAAGCTGCCAATGCCCGATCAATGCCTCCGCAACAATTTGACACGGTGAAACACAGAAAGCAATTACACAGAGGCGTGATGCAGGCCCTCGCCGTGTAGCAATATGGAGTATTACAGACACACGCCGTCGGCGTTTACCCGCACCGTCAGCAAAATTGTCACTCCGATTGCTATGTATATTGTCAATAAACCGTACAAGAACCGCTGTTTTTCAGATATTGGAGGGCAGGAACCGAGAATCGATGGAGAGCGGGGCGATGCCCTAACTCATCGGGAGGATCGTGCCAATTAGCCCCGTGGATGTGCCGACCAGTGAGCCCGTCACCTGGAACATCTCCAGCAGACGTCGATAATTTTTCAAACAGTCCATAAACAGAAGAAAAATGTACCTGTGGGGAAATTGCTTCGCCACACTCTCTATGCCTTTATCTCTGTGACTAGGCTCGGGTTTTCATTACGAGTAATACTTGACGAGGCACAGCCCAGCCGCAGGAAAATCATAACGCTACACCGTCCAGGTAATATGTCCCAATTGTCGACAGCTTCACCTGCAGAACACCGTATTTATAGCTGCTACTCACCCACATGTCAGTGATGACTGGGTCGCTCGTATGCTGTCTATATACTCAAGGACTTACGACCCATCCAAGTGCTCCGAAATCGGTGCGAGGTATATACCGCCCTCTTGTGTCCGATTTATCATACTCGCTGTAACATGATTCGTGAAATCGGTGATGAGTTCGTGGATGCCGCGCGAGGTGTTGCCGAGTTTCTGGGCATCCTGTAGATTAATCAAGGTTTGGAGAACATTGTAAATCATGTCCAGGGAGGAATTCAGCGAGCTTGCAGATTTTCTGTGGAAAATGACGCACGATGTATACGTTATTAAAGAACTTCCCGAAAATGCATTCAGTGCGAGTCAAATTGCGGACCATTACTGAATAATTATATCAGGCAGATTGGTGATTTGCGAGATTATTTTTTTCCGGGAGAATCTGACTACAATATTTTGAAAGAGTAGTTATTCTCAAACCACAGTGGAGAAGACAGATACCTGGTTGGTTAGTAATGGCGACTTATTTTTTCCCGGCGAAATTCTGAAAGCGTTTTGACAACAAAAAGGCAACAACAACAGCAAAAGCTAATACAAGCAAAACCATGAGAGCTGTATAATATAATTGACATTTCAGGTTTAATGATGTAAAGTCAATATAACCTATGCGTTCAATGCCTCCTGTCACACAGACAGGTCCACATATCCACAAATTGCACTATTTATTCATAACACCCAGTGACGGCGGTACTCAGGCGTGAAAATGTAATTTCCTTTTTTCAGCCACAACACGGAAGAATTGCTTTTTTATATTTTATATCTCCACACAGGCTCGTTAGTTTTCGACAAGCACCGAAAAGGTCAGTACATAAAATTTCGCCAAACGCTAATTGCATAGATATATGTTATATTGTTTTCAATTAATACCCGTATATACATATACGAAGTAACAGTCTTTCAACGATTATTCTCAAGTAGGCCCTAAGCAGATTGAACAAAAACATAATTAACATGAGACCTTTTTTTTTTGCATTCATTTTATTTTCATCACTGTACGCTCTTATTAAAATAGCTTTTTAAGTTGAGCACGTGTGGTCTAGTGGTGGGGCACAGAATTCGTGATGGTGAGATTGTGGGTTCGAGCCCCGCCGTGGCCATGCGTGTTGTGCCCTTGAGTAAGGCGCTTTACCTCAATTACTCCTCTCAACCCAGGTGTTAAATGGGTGACAGGCATTATTCAATGCTGGGAAGGTAACAGACTCGCTGTGGAGGAGGTGTGGCGATCCCCCAACAACAGCATTACGTGGACTCGAGTCTGGCCCAATCGCTTCGAAAGAGAGATGGGCACTCCGTTCCCGTGAACACAGGTTTGTCCCCCCCCCCCCCTTTATTAACTGGAACAGAATTTATTTATTTTATTTTTTTTACAGCTTTTGTATAGTTGATTCCCGCACTTTAGCGTACTTGACTTCACACGGAATAATCGAATAATACAAATTCCACATTTTGTAGTCATTAATATCATATTATAATAGCCTAAATATACATATTACTAAACACGAAAATGCTGGTACTTTGCACACTTCCTATGCCACAGTATACCTTTCTTTTTTTCTCCGGGCTACAGGAAAATTGAGACATTATGACGGTCAGAAATTGAACACCAAAAATCAGACACGGCCGTAAGTGAGATATAATGTAATTATTTCACAGCAGTTACAGAGCCTTTAGGGTATTTCTGCAACAAACGAATCGAAAACTGTAATGGAATATCACAAAAAGAGCCGTCGACGGTACAATATTTCACTTATAATTTGCTCTTTATCTTGTTAAACCTCTCAGATTGAAAGCATTATGCGGACGTTATGTGAGTTAAAATGTTAACCGCATGTTGAATTTCATTGTTTAGGATTCCGTTAAAAGGCATACCATTCGAAAAGGAACACTGGCAACTTGTGTCTCATTTTGTAGGTTTGGGTTACATCATTATTGGTAAAAAAAAAATTACGAATCAAGATTAAACGCTTATAATACATGAACAAGTAGAACAAAAATAACACGTGTAATTCTTATTCAGATTGAGCTCTGATATCAACCGCAGTTATAACCAACGCGGTTACATCATGGGCGTCGCCAGGATTTTTTCTAGAGGGGGGCAAATTTTTTTTGGCCAAAAATGCTTGTATTTCTCAACACATTCTCGATTTATCAGTTTTAGAGGGGGGCAGGGACATTTCCCCCCCCCCCAACTCATTAAATTTACACCACTTTGTCTTCGCGCCTCTTTTTTTTTTTTTTTGCTTTTCCAGGGTGGGGGCACTTGCCCCCCCCCCCCCCCACCTTGCCCCCCTCGCGACGCCCATGGGTTACATTAAATCTTATGGCGATTTATTACGATTGGTATTAAGATGTATATCCTATTACATCATGCCTATCGAGGACAGAATAAACGCTAATGGTGGCAGTATAATCCAACATACTATTTGGCTGTGTTCCCCCAGGAAGCCTTAAGGGTCGATTAATGAACGGCGAGGCCCAACGTTGAATGTCAAACGTCTCTGGTCATTAATCCTCATTTATGATGGCCGAGGTACAGGAAACCATACCTCGGTGAAAAAGAAAAAATGGGGGGAAAATATCGCATTTCGGGGAAGCTATTACGAGCGTCACAATGAACGCGAGAGCGCGTCACTGCAATCGCTGCTAAATTGGTTTCTCTGAAGAGGATGCAGAGGAAAAAGAGGTCATCAACATGAATTTTTAAAAGCCATTTGTACCTGATGGGTTTTCAAAAGGGCAAGGACACAGCCGTGGAAAACTGCGATACCGGGAAGTATTCTATAATGCCGAGAAGGGTTTTGTGAACCATGCTTTTGGCACGGTGTAATACTTGCTCGTTTTAAAGGGAGATCAACCTAGCACACGCCACCAATCCGCGGACACGCTATCACTTCTATCGCGGAGGACCCCTTTAAAGGCGCAAGCATATTGTGCCAGTTATTGTTCAATATTAGTGTCATGGACGAACAGTCGCTCTTCATGCCGCGAATCCCTCTTTTAAGACAAAACCCGAGTGTATAGAGCTTTTACATTCAGGTTTTTGCCCAAGCCTGTTCGAGGATTTCAAGTGATTCTCTCTTTTCTCCAAATTTAATCCACGTGGGGAATAATTATTACCGGTTGAACGCCCACAACCAACAGGAAGCAATTAGTATCACTTGACTGAATGACTGGTTAGGTTTGCTCAAACCCTTCCCAAGTGGCCTATTAATACGCATAATTGTTCTCAACAGATTCATTATAGTGCAACATTTGGGGGTTTTTTGTCCGGAAATGAAAACGTCTTTCCGTTTTTGATCGTTTAAATTGGTTCAGCAAAATTGGATATCCTGAAGTAGGCTACAAGGTTGTACATGTACATTAATGTGCAACAAGCTGCGCACCCAACAATGTGCCTTAGTCTTCAACCATATGAAGTTGGCGCATAACTTGGAAGAAGAAAGAGGAAAAGAACTGATGTGGCCTGTACGTGTGTGTACGTGTTCATCCTGTCAAACCGTGAACGAAAAATACCAGAGAACAAAAGAGAACACTATCGTCCACGATTCCCAGCATACGTCCGCGATTGGGGTCGTGTACAAAACCTATGGGAGTCTTCCTAAAAAGTTAGAGTACAAACAAAAGAGGGACGATAGAACGTCCACGATCGACGGTGGACACACGTTTTTGTGTGTGTCCAGAGATGATGGTCGGGACTGACAACCTGTGGATTAGCAAACCACCTTCAGGGATTAACTAGGTGTTACAGTGGGATGAGTAAAAGATAAACAACAAAATCCTGGTATTGAAGAAAAGAACTTGGCTTTTAAAAGACAAAATCACCTTATGTTACGGTAGCTATAGCACAATGCTTTCGCCATTTATGGAGGCCTCCGCGAATGCACATTATCACGTGCCCACATTTGTCTTACAGGTGGGACTGTTGAGCAGAACGGTAGATGGCGCCCTATTAACATCACACACGAGAATGCTAACGTACGGAGCAGACTGGGTATCATTGCATTCGAATGTCCCTCCCTGTGGTTCCCCCCCCCCCCATATTTCTGTATGTGACCGTTGAGGGGGTACTTGTGCACGGAGTCTACGGAGCTACATTACATTTGTACACAAGCTCTTACCATCTGCACTCGTTGGGCGTGGCTTATTTCAAAATAGCCCCCATCTGTCTCACTTCTTCGTTGCCGCTGAGGGGTTACTGTCTCGTGCACGTAGTCAGTCCATCACGTTCATTTGAGACAGAACAATCAACTTCGTCAACATCACAAATTCTCAAGGACGACCCCAAAGTAGGCCTATGCCATGCATTCAGAGAGTCACCATGTCAACAAACACAAAACGAGTGCACCATATTACTGTAAAACAAGTCCAGTTGTGCGGACAGAATTTCGTAGTGAAACTTGAGGACTCGGCACTTCACTTTGCGAGGCATGGGATCATTTTGCCTCGTCATAAACTGCTAGCACTAGAAAAGCGTCTCCAATCCCCCGCCCAGAAAACATGCATGGATAAATCTAGCGCGAGCGACGTGATAGCGAGACCACGAGGTTGGTTTTTTTGGGGGTTGCTGTGATCATTGTGAGAGGCCGGCAATACGACACTCCAAAAACACTTCACAGCTCGGACGCCATAATGACAACGGCACTCGTCCCTGCTCGGTCAACCTAAATTATGACTCCACAAATACACACACTATACAGGCGCTTGCCATAAGAGGTGAACTGGGTCACTTCGTGTTATGTTTGCAAATACTAATATTCGGGACACATACTCCCCGCGGTTAGCCTCCTTCCCCTCTTGAGGGCTGAACAAAACATTTACCTTTCACCGTCGACAGAAATCCATCCATTACTGTTCCCACTCATGTCACGTATAAGTCCCAAGAAAACTAATACTTGTTCATTTTTTCCTCTTCTTTCAAAACAAACAACCGAATATTGGTTCGTAGTTCAGGGAAGTGTTTAAAATCTGGGGCTTCGAGTTAG